GTGCTAAACTTTCCTGAGGAAAGAGGGATTTATGCAGGCAGTGATGCCTTGTGGGGGCTGCCCTGGAGCAGAGGCTGGGCAGAGTCCCAGAATAAAGCAGGGATTTCTCCAAAGCATCTCCTCCATGGATCCACCTTGGGCAGCACCAGAGCCCAGCCAGGGCTGCACCCAAATGACCCAAAATGGTCCCAAAATGCAGGAGCGCTCCCGGGGCTCTCCCTGGGATCAGTTCTGCTCCATTGGCACCTTGGAGTTCATTGTCCCATTCCAGCTCCAGCCCATCAGTCCCACCCTGCTTGTTTTTCTCTCTCCAGCCCACGCTGTTTGTGCTCCTGGGCTGAGGTTTGGATAATTTGTCCTTGGTGCCCAGCTGGAGCAGGAATTGTTTTGTCTCTGCTCTGTGCACAGAGCTCAGCATCCCCTGGTGTGAAGCTCAGAGTTACACACTGAAGCAGCTCAGAATGTGAAAATAGAAATTTAAAACCTGAGGCATCAGCAGGCCGAGGCATTTGGCAGCTGCAGGGTGGGGATGGGGTGGGTGATGTCCCCGTGTGCTCGGTGTCCCTCAGGGTGTGGATGACCTGACGGGAGAGCCGCTGGTGCAGCGCGAGGACGACCGGCCCGAGGCCGTGGCCGCGCGCCTCAGGAAGTACAAAGATGCTGCCAAGCCCGTGATGGAGCTCTACAAGTGAGTTGGGCACGAGCAGAAAACACAGCAGGGCTGTCAGAACAGCCACCAGGGCTCTTGGTCCCGTGCCCACATCCCAAAGAGCCCTGGCAGATTTTTGGGGCCAAGCCCTGAGCCTGGACGGGGCCTCCCCTGGAGGAAGGAGGGTGATCCAGAGAAATTCCCAGCTCCTGTCGGTCCTGCTGGCATCATCACATGGGAGGGGTATTTTGGCTTAGATCTACAGTGGGACATGCCATGAAAAAATCCATCCAGGACCCCGAGGGGTTTGGGTGAAGCACAGGGAGGTTGGCAAGAGGGCAGGAGAAGGGAGCTCAGATGGATCTGCTGGGAGCACAGGAGGGTTCCAGGGCTTGTTCCCCTTGTGGGGCTGCTCTTCCCCAGCCAGTTTGGGAATTGGGAATTGGAATTGGGATTGCTGTAGGGTGGCAAATCTGCTGCTCAAAGGGAGTAGAAGTCCAGGAGTGTTTTTAAGCACATGAGGGGCCAAAGTTTCCCTTGCAGGGGAAGGGGGAGAATTACAGAAACCCAAAATGGTTTGGGTTGGGAGGGACCTTAAAGCCCATCCCATTCCATGCCCTGCCATGGGCAGGGACACCTCCACTACCCCTGTCCAAGCTGCCTTGGTTGGGATGGGCTCCTGACTTCTCCCACCTTCTTTTCCAGGAGCAGGGGCATCCTTCACTCCTTCTCTGGCACAGAGACCAACAAGATCTGGCCCTACGTGTACACCCTGCTGTCCAGCAGGATCCCCCCTGTCCTCCCGGAGGAGGAGCACTAACCAGCTCGTGCCAAGCACCAGGATTTCATTCCATCCTGGATTTGGTTCCCAGTGCAGTGCCAGGGCTGTGCTGGGCTTGGGTGATCATGACTGGGTGACATTGGTGGGTGCCAGTCACAGCCAGGATCAGATCTTTGTTTAGAAGGTCAAGTCTGCTGGAATTAGGGGGTTTTTCCCCTCTTTTGGGGCTCTTTTTGGGAGTTTTCCTGCCTGTGGTCCATCCCGGACTGGTGATGCTGACCAGGGCATTGGTCATTCCAGGTTTACACAGCTTTGCCATGGTGTCCTTGCCATCCCTCTTCCAGCCCCAATCCCTGGCTGAGCCCACATGTGCTATCCTGTTGCTCCACAGGACCATTTTCTGCTGAGGACTCTAGGCTGAGGGTTTTTTTTCCCCAAAAAATAATTTCCAATAAAAGGAATTCCCAAAAAAAAAAAACCCCAAAAAACAAAAACTAACCCAAGGGGAAATTTGGGAACAAACGGGAAAAACGGGGGAACAAAAAACCGAAAAGGGAAGAACAAAATTCCAACAACAACGCAACGAAAAAAAGCAAAAACCTGGAACCGAAACCCCCCCCTGGCCCCCCTCCAAGGGGAAAACCGAAATCCCCGGTGGAAAAAACTGCCGGAAAAGGTTTTTATGGAATGCTGTGACACTCAGCAGGACCTGGGCTGGGGATGAGTTGCACTCCTTTGTGCTTTCCTGGTTTCTAGCTTTCAATACTACAAGATAGCAATGTCCTAAGAGTTTCTCCCAAAGATTTATCTCCACGTGTGCTTCAGTTTTGGGAAGAAATCAGCTCATTCCATCTTCTGTGCTGCCTTTGTCCCCAAGGTCCCCTGGCCAGGGGGTCCCTTCAGCTGCTCCTGCTGCATCCCCCAGCAAAGTGACTCCCCCCCATGAAATCCCAAAGCTCTTTCCTACCTTGGGATGCACCCAGGGCCATGCCAGGTGTTTTCCCACAATTTACAGCATCCTTGGATTGTGTTGGGGCTGGGCTTTTCTCAACTGGAAGTGCTGTCACCCTCTTTTTGTAGGATGCAGTACCCGAGCAATGGGGACAATTCTGGTCTCCTCGAGTTGCCTTATTTTATAAACTATATTTAAGAAAAAAAAAAAAATTAAAGCAAGATGTGTATTTGTAAAGGTTTAAAACAAACAAAGAAAAAAAAAAGTGCTGAATTTTAGCATCACCTTTTTGGAATTGTGCATGGAGCTGCTGGATCTGCAGGGAATTCTGCTCCTGCCAGTGGGGCTCACAGGAGGGCAGGAACCTGGCACTGCTGGCACCTCTTGGATTAATCAGAGCACCTCTCTGCTGCTGGATGTCCCTGGGTTTATTTTTCCTTTATTTTCCCTGAGGCCCACAGCAGGGAAAGGGGAGTGACCAGATTTTTTTAGGGATTTTTTTCCTGGCGTGAAACTTCAGCTCCTGCCTGGGTTTATTCATCCCTTGTGCTGACCAAGGATCCCCTAAAATTTGCTTCATCCCGGTGCTGTCCCCAGTGGAGCCAGAGTGGGATCACTGCCCACATTCCCCCTGCTCAGCCCTGCCTGGGGAGAGGCCAAAGTGCTCCCACCCTGCTCCAGGTGGGAATTTGCCCGGTGGGAACAAAGGGATTGTCAGGTCTCACTGCTGTCCCGGGAGGCCTTTCCACGCCCTCGTGCTGGGAGCTGCAAATCTCCCAGCTGGCAATGAAAGCCTATTTCAGAAAGATTTGGGATTTTCCCTCAACCTTGGGATGAAGGTCTGGGCTGGTTTTAGACACAAATCCAGAACCAGCCAAAACCCACGTGCTGCTTTCTTTGGAACAGCTTTGGGCAGGAGGGGAGGAGGTTTTAGGGTTTATTTTTTAGGCTATAAAAACAGCTGAGTGCCAGGCAGAGGGGCTGATCCCTGCTTTGCCTTCTCCTCTCCTTGTGTCCTGTCCTTCCCTGCTGCAAAATTCCTCCTGAAGAGAGAATTCCATGCAGCCAGCACAGGAGACAGGTCTGCAGATGCCTTTTGCAGGCTTTGAGCCTCGAATAGGTGTGGAAATCCCGTGGCTGTGCATGCCTCCAGCCCTCGGGATGGAATTTTCTACCAGACCTGTTGCATTTTCCGAGACCAAATTCCAGCAGGGAATTATTTGTCCCTCGCTGTGCCCCTGCCGTGCTCCCCTTTGGTATTTTACTGTGAACCCCAAACCTTTTGTAAAGCCACAGCAATTTTGTACTGACCCGAGATACTGTGTGGAGGGAGGAGCCTCTCCCCCCTGGAATGTCACGCCGAGTTTTCTTCCCGGAGTTTTCTTCCCGGAGTTTTCTTCCCGGTGAATCGCTGCAGCTGTGTTACTGCTCTCGAGATGTAAATAAAGATTTTTCTCCTGCTGATCCATGCGCTGGCAGAGTCTGTGTGGGTTTTGCCCTGCCAAGGCAGCAGGGAAGTGTTGATCTGGAATTCCTTTGTGGGAACTGAGGAGGAGGAGGAGAGAGGAAGAAGAGGAATCAGAGCATCCCTGCCTGAAGGTGGGAAACCCCTCAGGCTTTGGGTTTGGGCACAGTGCAGCTCTTTGGGTCCTTTATCTTATATAATCCAAAATATTGGTTAACAAGGCAGTTTGGATGTAGCCATTTGCTCAGAATTCCAGAATCCCGGAATCCCGGAATCCCAGCCCGGTTTGGGTTGGGAGGGTCCTCAAAGCCCACCTCAATCCACCCCCCCGCGCATAAAGTGGTTTAAATTTCCTTTTTAACTTCTCCCTACTAAAAATCCCGGGGAGCATTAGCACAGCGAGGCTCTGGCCGTGTCCTGTGCCCCGGGTAATCCATCACGAGTGCTGGAAATTGGGAATTGGCAAGTGGGAATTGGGAACTGCGCTCCCGGAGCGGCACCGCCTCCTCCCAGTGCCACCAGTTCGCTTGTTGCTGTCATTCCCGAATAACAGCTCCCTGTTCGGAGCGAGCAGAGCCTCGGGAATGATGGGAGACTGGGAAAACAAGGTGATAAGCAGGGAATCTGCGGCCGGGGAGGTGGGGGAGAGCCCCAGCCCGCAGCGGCAATGTCGCGATTCAGGGTCGTGACAATCCGGAGGCGGAGCAGGGATGTGCGGGCACAGAAATCCGAGGAGGAAAAACATCAGCGTAAGCTGGAATATGAATTGAGCCTGAAAACAAAAGGTGGGAGGTCAAAAAAGCAGAGGAACGCGAGCCAAAATCCAGCTGGGATCAAAGGCTTGGCTTTCCCCGAGTGCCACCGGGGGAGCTGGGAGGGCGCAGGGGACACGGCCCCACCCTACAGCCCGACCTCAGCAGAAGGAAACGGCCTCAAATGGCACCCGCGGAGCCTCAGCTTGGAGATTTGGGAAAAATTCTTCATGGAAAGGGTTGGCCAGCCCTGGGTGGATGAGTCCCAGCCCCTGGAGGGATTTAAAATCCCTGTGGACATGGGGCAGACAGTGGTGGCCGTGGCAGTGCTGGGCATGGCTGGGCTCGGTGGTCATAGAGGACTTTTCCAGCCCAAATGATTCCATGATTCCAAATATTTGTTTTCAGCATCTGAAGTGTTTGTCTGCCTGGTAGCCGTGGAAGTGCCCCAGGTGTGCCTGGATCAGCCCCACTCCCGGGGTTGCAAAGCTTGGACAAGTCACAGGCCCTGCTGAGTCCACCCAGCGGCATTCAGCATTCTCCAGGGGGAAAAAATATCATCAAGGGGGAAAAAAACCCAAAAAAAACCAAAACAAACAAAAAAAACAACAAAGCAAGCAAACAAAAAAAAACCCAAAAACCAAAGAAAAAACCAAAGAAACCCCCAAAACACCAAAAACTGCAAAAAAACCCCAACACCCCAAAAAAAACCCCAAAAACCAAAAACAAAAAACCACAAAAACAAAAAAAAACAAGGGGAAGAAAAAAAAAGAGCAAGGAAAAAAATAATAAACAGAACCACCCAGTCAAGGGAAAGAAAAAAAAAATTAAGGGAAAAAAAATAAAAAACAACCCCAAAAAAGAAACCAAACACCCCCGCCGAGGTTTGCGCTGCAGACTCCAGATCCCAGTCCAGGCCACATTTTCGACGGTGTGCTATGTCTGCCTCCATCCCCATCCTTCCCCGAGTCTCCGTAATCCCAAAAATAACCCGGGAGCGGCACGCAGCTCGCGGGCAGCGGCGGCAGCAGCGCCGCACCGGGCCGGGAGCGGCCCCGCCGCCGGTGCCGGCGGAGAAGCGGCGAGCGGGACGCGGCCGCGCTCGGCCCCGCCGCCCGCAGCCCCCGGAGCCGCGGCATGCACGGCCCCGAGCAGCCAGGTAAGGAAAAAACCCCCGGAGCTGCTGGAAAAGCGGAGAGAAGGAGTGCGAGAAAATTGGGGGGTGTCGTGGAGGGCCCGTTTGTGCTGAGTAATTGGGGAAGGCACGCCGGTAGCCCGGGATGAGGGGAGAATTCCCGGCTTTCCAGCCCCTTATGTAACAGGGTAGAGGGAAGGGGTCGCACCCAAAATTGAGTGGTTTAAAAGGTGGGCCGGGCGGGGAAGGAGAGGAGCTGGGATTTGGGGATGTGCGCCTGGGCACGGAGTGTTGGGTACCCCCGGGCTAGGAGCGCGGACACCCCAAAATTGGGGGTGGCGCTTTTCGGGCTGCCTGAGAGCCCTGCGGCCGTATGGAATGAAAAAAGGGGATTTTTCCGGCTTAAAAGAATAACAACTGTAGCTTCTCTGCGGCCGGAGCCGGACCCGCTGCGGGAGGGGCACTGGCGGCGATGGCAGCGCTGCCATCCAGCGCTGATCCCGGCCTTTCCCTGCCAATCCAGCGGGAAGCTGACCTTCAACCCCCCCCTCTGCTATGCCGAGGCAAACACAGGGCTGCATTCCCTTTTAAAAAATCCTATTCCGGGCCAAAAAAATAGCTCAAGTCTGTAGTTAAATGCGGACATCGCTGCCTCGGCTTCGGCGCTGCCCCGGGCGGGCGCTCCGGGAGGGGACGGCGCTGCCGGGGCTCCCCACGGCTCCAGGTAGGTGTTTATCCCCCCACGGCTGGAGAACAGCCCATCATTCCCGTCTGGCTGCTGTGCTGGTGCCTGTCATTATCATAGTCTTGTTTTGGATACTGCCAGGGAGAGGAGGAGGAAGGAGGAGAGGGAGAAAGAGGACGAGAAGGAGGAGGAGGAGGAGGAGGAGGAGGAGGGTGAGGAATGTTTTTTGGGCAAACCCTCAGCTCTGCAAACTCTCGACTTTATTCTCCCTCCGCGGCTGGACCAGGGCCTCCATCTTCTGCTATCCCTCCAAATGTGGATTTCTCTTAGTCATAGCCTTCCCTGAGAGGAGAGAGAGAAAAAAAAAAAATAAATAAAATAAATCCCACCAAAGCAGCGAACGGAGCGATTCCGGCTGCACAGGCGGCGTGACGGCAACACCGGTGCCTCTAAATTTAGCCAGCCGTGGCACAGCCGCCCGGTTCGCATCCCGGGAACGCTCCCGGCCGAGGGATGCAGCATTTTGGAGAGGCTGCAGCCCTTAAGGAGGCACCGGCTTTGTCCTTGAGCCGAGCTCTCGGATGTTGAATTGCTGACCCGACTAATCCCAGGCGCAGCCTAATCCCGCCTGGGAGCCGCAGGTTTGGGGCAGGATCTGCTCCAACCCCTCCTGCTTCGCTGGGAAAAGGTGCCGGGGTGGTTGGGAAAGCGGGGAAGAGCCTGGGAGCTGGAGGTTCAGGATTTGGGCTGGGAGTTGGGAGTTTTGGGGTTGTGCTTGGGTACGCGCCCGGCGCTGCTCAGGGGTTGGAATTCCCTTTGGGATGGGAGTTGGGATTGTCAGCACAATCCCAAATCCCTTGTGGCAAAGGATGCCACTCATCCGTGGCAAACATCCCGGTTCAAAGGGGTGGCTGCTCCTCTCCCAGAATCCCAAAATCATCCAGGTGGGAAAAGCCCTCTGAGATCATCGGGTCCAACCATTAATCCAGCTCTGCCCGAGCTCCAGGGATGTGAGGATGCTAAAAACCACCAGAGCTGCCCACAGCTCCCAGATTTTTGGGAACACAGCCTGGAAATTCCAGAATTCTGTGGATGTAGCAGGCAGAGATGCTGTAATTCCCCAAAAAATCGGATTATAGATGCTTCTTCAGGGGTGCATAAAGCAGCCATGGGAAACTCTCCAATTAAAACACCATGAATAGGAATTTATTATTTATATTAAATTATAAATAATGGTTCCCACTAATAATTTGATTATGTTAATGTTTTTACAAGAGATTTAGTATTTTATTACAATTTTAAATATTATTATATACCAAACTAGAAACAGGATTTTGTGAGCTCTCACAGTCCCAAAAGTGGATGAGGCCTTGTCTGATGGATGCAAACAACATATGGATTTCTTTCTCTTGAATAACTCCTTGTCTTCAGCAGCCAGAAATCATAAGGATGGAAATTTAGATCCCTGAATTAAGGCTGGCAAAGGGAGAGATGGAGAAATTGGGGGTGCAGGGCAAAATCAGGCAGGGAGACTGAGACCAGGGGCAGAATTTGCTCCAAATCCTCTGAAATGGGACTTTTGCCATGCAGGAAAATTTGAATTTATTCCCTTCATCAGAACATGATTGGAAGCAAAAAAGAAATTATCCTAAAAACAATTGGAATTCCTTTTCCAAGTGAGAGTTTTCATGGAAAACTTTGCAGGAAGAGCAGGCTGCTCTCGGCCAGCTGAGGTTTCTCTGATGTCTGTGAAGGGTGGGGTTCCCTGCTGGCATTCCTTTGCCACCCTGCCAGCTTTGGGAGGGTTTGGAATCCCCACAGAGACCCCAGGGAATTATTTCCGTGGCTCAGAGGTGGGTCAGCACTCTCCAGCTCTGTGCCCACGGGGTTTTCCATGGATTTGTGTCTTGGGGACATCCCAGGAGAGCATTTCCCAGTGGAGTGACCCTGAGGAACCCACCCAGTGCTGAAGGGGGGGTTTGTCACCTGTCCTGCTGGAAATGGACACCAGGAGAAGGGTGAGGGACAACCCCAGCCTGAACCCTGGGTGAGATGTCCCCAGGGATGTCCCCAGACTCAATTTTCATCCAGAGGCAAGGAATTCTGGAATGGTTTGGGCTGGAAGGGCTCAAAGCCCACCCAGTGCCACCCCTGCCATGGCAGGGACACCTCCCGCTGTGCCAGGCTGCTCTGGGCACCTGTGCCAGCTGGAATCTATTCCCACACCAAGCTGGGTGTTTGTGCCTTGAACAACACCCCAAAGCTCAGAGCAGCACATGGATTAGAAGCAGGATGTGGGAGAGAGCACCAGCAGCCCTGTGGGGTTTGTTGGAGGAACTCTTTGGAAAAGATGCTCATTTATAAACCCAAACTGCCTCAGTCAGGACCTGTAAGTCACCACAAGCTGAGACAAATACCATTTTAGAATATTTTATATCAGCCAGAGGAGCAAACCTTTAATAATATTTTTCCTGTTAATTTTAGGTAAAAACCTAAATTCTGGCAGAAGGTCCAACCACATCAATGGGGTTGTGTTGTTTCTGACCAACTTTCCCATGCTACCAGACCCTTCTGCATCTTCCTGCTCCAGGTTTTTCTTAAATATCCACCCAGGAAAATCCATCCCAGTGAGGCCTGGAGTGAGAACACATCACTCCCCCTCAGGAAACCCTCACCCCATCCATCCTGAGGGAAGGGATGGCAGCCCCAGCTGTGATTTCCCTCTGTTTTCATGGAAAATCTGATTTCCCTGAGGGCTCAGAGCTACCTGAGACCACGACCTGACCATTCCCACCGAGTTCTCTGTTGCTGGGGCCTGACCCTGAGCTCAGCAGCTGCAGCTGATGCAACCCCACAACGACACTTGGTTGTATAATTTTCCTCCCTGTTTTCCCCACCAGCCATTTTCCAGTGCAGACAACACTCAGTTATCCAGATTTTCCTCAGGATTTAACCACTTACCTCACAGTGAATGGGAAATGATGAATAAACAGCAGTTAGGCCACAAAATATTTGATTTGTACCAAAATACCTGATGGTGAATGGCTGTGCAGCCTCTGATTTTCCAACATTTTGCAGGCTGGAGACTTCCTGAGCCAGCATTTCCTGTTTAATGGCCTCTTATAGATCCACTTCCCATCCCTTTCTCCTCTTCCTTTGTGAACCATGGACATTTTTAGCAGCTACAACAGCCCTTGGCAGGCAGCTCTGCAGCTCAGCACGGCTGAGGAGCCAGGCAAATCCTTGAACACTCCAAAACCAAGTCCTGAGCTGGGATGAGGAAATTTTGGATCATCCCCGACAGCTTTTTAACAAGACTGAAAGGCAAGAAATAACAGATGTGCTGACACAGCAGGGTGGTTAATGGGTGTGCTCTCCCAGGGAGGAAAGGATGGGGGGGAAGGACAGTGAGAGTTGAATATTTGTCACATCCTGGCTCACCCTGAGTGTCCATCCTCAGAGGGAGAACTCCAGCTGCCAGCCAGGCCCCGAGAACTGGGCTGCCTTTCACTGCAGCAGAGGCTCAAGGCTTCCTCTGAAGGTTAAACCGAGTTTAGCATTAAAACCCAGCCCAAAACATCTCAGAACCTCCTTTGCTTTTTGTTAGAGATGAACGAGACAGGCAGAGCCACTTCGGAAGTTCCTGAACGTTGAGTGGGTTAAGGAGGGGTTGGATCATTTGATGCTCCTTTCTCCAGCTGGATCCTCACAAACTATCCCAGATTTTCCCTGGATCATCACATCCCACCCTGGGAATGTGCTCGGCTGCCCAAGGAGCCACTGCTCCAAGGACAGCTCCTTGTCCAGGCAGGGACACCATTCCCTGATCCAGAGGGAGGAACCACGTGGCCATCCCTGACTGCACTGATTTATCCCAGCACAAGTCTGGAAATTGCTTGGAGATGGAATTCCTGGCTCTGGAGCCACATCCTGGGGTTGTCCTGCTGCCACATTCCCAGAGCAGCACAGGGGAGTGTCTTGGTTTGAACAGCCAGGTGTCTGCTGAGGAAGGCAGGAGCCACCCCTGAAATGGAGAATGCAAACCCCTCCCCCCGAAATAGTAAGAAATTGAAAATAAAGGAATCCCAAGCAAAAAAGGGGGAAAAAGGAAAAAAAGTCCTTGACAAGGAAAATAAAAAAAAAAAAGCAAAAAGAAAAAAAAAAAAAAAAAAAACAAGGCCAAGGGCAAAACAACCCCGGCCCCCGGGGGGCAAGGAAGGGCCCAACCCCAACCCAGGGGGGCTCAGCCCTCCTGCAGTGCCAGCTGTGCTTCTGCTGGAGCAGGATCTGCACAAGGGGGGAGTTTTCCTCTGGAGCTCCAGGGCTGGGGGAGATGGATGGATGATGGATGGATGATGGA